GGGAAGGCAGAGAGAGTTAGGAGCTGGCTGAATGTTCATGGGGAATCAGGGGTGGAGGGGAGGAGTGTGCTGTCGCAGAATGGGGTGAGCGGTTGGGGTCTCATTATCGATGTATGTAAATAAAAAAAATTTTTTTCTGTATGGGAGACTAACTTGAAACATAAAGTTTATTTAATTACAACAGTAAAAAAAAGAGAAAAAAAAAAAACTTAAAGAAAATAAAACTGAGAAAATGTAGTACTAAGAGATAAAGAGAAGAAAAATTTCAAAGAGGACAGTAGATAAGGAAGAAGGCATAAGTAAGTCCAACATACATCTAATGGGAGTTCCAGAATGAGTGAATAGAGACTAAAGGACAGGCTATTTGAAGACACACGAATCCTCAGATTGTGGAAATACAGTGAGTCCTAAGCATGATAAGTAAAGATAAAGTCATACCTAAACACACTGTGCTGAAACTCCAGAACATCAAAAACAAAGAAAAGCTCTACGATCAAACAGAAGAAAAGGTAGGTTACCAAAAAAAGGAGCAAGAATAATTGGACTGACAGTTGACTTCTCAACAGCATCACTAGAAGCTAGAACACAAACTACTCATATCTTCAAAGTGCAAATAGAAAATAAGATTCTACGTCAATCACTTATGAGTAACAGCAAATCAAAAACATTTTCAGATAAGCAAAGTGTTAACCATTGAAAAAACTCTACCAAAAGAACTAAGAACGGATGCACTTCAAAACGAAGGAGAGTGAACCAAGATGGAAGAAACAGAAATTAGGAAGAAACAGAAAACGAAAGAACTAGTAAATATCTGGGTATATCTAAATAAATAACAATGATGATGACAAATGTTGAGAGGATTGAAGGAGAGTAATTGGAGTTTTAAAAAAATCCCAAATCCTTGTATTGTTTGTAAGGAGGATAAGATATTGAGCAACTTTAGACCTGATGCCAACTATGCATATTAAAATGTTAGTGGAATCCAGGGTGTGTGTGTGTGTATTACATTGGGTGGCAGTAAGTGTTCAGAAGAAAAATACAGGAAAAAGGAAAAGGGAGTGGGGAGGAGGTGACTGGTAGAGGGGAAGAAGAGGAAATAAAGAAAACTCAGTCCAAAATAAAGTGGACATTGATTTTTTTAAGCATTATACAAAAATTCAGGGTAAATACTACAAAATAAGAAGATATAAACAACCCAAAATTTATCAATAAATATAAATGGATTAAACCCACCCATCAAAAGACAAAGAAAGTCAGATTAGATGTTTTAAAATTACAAGATAACCCACCTAAATTATAAGAACACCATAAGTTTGAAAGTAAAAAGTATAAAAAAAATTACTAAGAACTCCAGCTTGTAAAGCTTTATTAATATGAGACAAATTTGTAAAAATATACATATTATTAAGTATTGAGGAGGGCCACTACATAATATTAAAGGAAAATATCACCAGGAAGAAATAAAAAGTGGAAATTTTTACTTATCTATTAACATGATCTAAAATATACTTGAAGCAAAAAAAAAAAAGAAAGAACTGCAAGAAGAAATAAACAAATCTCCATACTTTTATCAGATGAATAAAAAATTAGGAATAGTATAGTCTTGACAACAAATTGACAAAGTTGATCTAATAAACCATGTGTAGAATCCTGCACCCTGAACATTTAGAGTACCTATCCTTTGCAAGCACATATGCATCATTTACAAAAACTATTAGTTGGTCACAAAGCAAGTCTCAAAAATTTCTGAAGAATCACTACAATACAGTCCACAATGCAAAAAAAAGTAGGATGGGATCACAATAGAGGGTCCCAGACAGAGCCGGAGAAAAATGGAGAACAAAATTCTAACTTACAAAAAAACACCAGACTTACTGGCCTGACAGAGACTGAAGAAACCCCAAGAGTATGGCCCCCGGACACCCTTTTAGCTCAGTAATGAAGTCACTCCTGAGGTTTACCCTTCCGCCAAAGACAGGCCCATAAAACAAAACAAGACTAAAGGGGCACAACAGTCCAGGGACAAGGACTAGAAGGCAGGAAGGGACAGGAAAGCTGGTAATAGGGAACCCAAGGTCGACAAGGGCAAGTGTTGACAGGTCGTGGGGTTGTTAACCAATGTCATAGAACAATATGTGTACTAACTGTTTAATGAGAAGCTAGTTTGTTCTGTAAACCTTCATCTAAGGTACAATTAAAAAGAAAGTAAGAAATCACTAACTAAAATATACCTTAAATACCCATATGTTTGGAAATTTAAAGATATACCTTTAATTATCATAGGAGAAATAGTACAATTTTTTGAGATTTCTAATCATTGGAGAATACTAAAAACAGAAAATATTTAGAATAAATGGAAATGAAAATACGTGTATCAAAACCTGTGGAAACAACTAAAAAAAAGTTATTACGGGACATTTTATAGCCTTAAATTCTTCTATTAGAAAACTGAACAAGCTGAGCATCAATTTCAAAAGGTGGAAAAAGAACGAGAAAATCCAAAGTGTATAGAAGGAAGGAAATAACAAAGAGCAATCAAAGAAATATAAAACAAACTTACAATGTAGAGGTTCATAAACAGCAAGATCCGGGTCTTTAAAAAAACCAAGTGATAACATACAGGAGAGGCAGAGCAGTGAAGCAGCAGAGAACACAGGCTCTGGAGCCGACAGCCTGGCTGAGTCCCAGCCCTGCCACTTACCAGCTGCATGGTCTCGGGTGAGTGACCTGTGGCTGTCATTGGTGGAGCCACAGCTCAAACCCTGGACTTTTGGATCCCTGTGCCCTGGACCCCTGTTAGTGTATACTAACTGGTTATCCTTACAACAGGACATGTAAAAATTGTGTACTCTGCCCGGAGTACATTCCTCTCATAATGAAAATGGGTATTGCAATACCCATTTCACAGACGTGGAAACTGAGATCTTTGAAACTATCAAGTGTTGGAGCTGTGATTCAAGACCAGATCTTTCCATCTCCGAAGGCTGCCCTCTCAACCACCATGCTCACCTACAAGAGAAGTCGAAAATCCCTGTTGGCTACACAGTAGTGATGCTCTGGAAGGCTTTTCACTGTACACGCATCTCCAGGGAAAATATCTGCTAAGGTGACATGTAAAACAGGAGGGGCAGCTACCCCTTGCTCAGCAGGTGTGCACTCCTCTCCTCCTGGTAACCCAGTGGTTAAGATTACAGTCTTTGGAATTAGAAAGAAGAATTGCTAATATTTATTAGGCACTCCCTTTGTCCCAAGCATAATGCTAAGATCTTTCATTCCTCACAACATCCCTTTTCACAGGCTCTATTATTGCCCCATAATACAAATTTAGAATCTAATGTGCAGAGAAGTTAAACTCACTAGCTACAAATTGGCAGAGGTAGAATTCGAACCCAGGCCATGTAACACCAGAGCTTACATTCTTACCCATACTAAACTCTTGGGCCTCAACCGCCTCAGCCATCAACTGGGGATAACAATACCTATCCCCTAAATTATGAAATGAGACAAGGTAGATAAAGCCCCCAGCCGAGTATTTAGCATACAATAAGTGATGAAGATGATGATGATGGTGATGATGACGATGATGGAGAAGGAGGAAGGAGTGGTGGTAGTGTTGGTGGTAATGATGATGGTGATAACAATTCTTATTTGCAAAGATAAAAGCCTAAAAGGACCTTACCCTTCCTAATTGCTCCAGACTAACTTACTGCATAAAATCCTCGAAAAGAAATCTTTCCTTCTATTTCAATCACATAAATCTTTAAGTGGCCAGATCACTTGTGCTCTATGTGAGAGCTTAGTTTCAAAATCAAAATCACAGCATTTCACATTATACGAAGACATGAAGAAAAGTATTTAAAAGAATCTGACAAATAAAACTGCAGAGACGGGGGGGCGAGTGCCGACATTATCGGATGCAGTAAGTCTAGACTTGAACTTAATTTTCCAGAATTCTTGAGATAGTGCAGCATAAAAGACCAATTAATCAGGGTGTGTTTGTTCTCTATGTGTGAGTCACTGTTGCCATCTACAGATAAATATGGGGCGTGCAACGCTGCCAAATAACTGATTAATTCTGAGAACATACATCCTGGAGATGGAGGTGCTGAGAAAATGTGCTTGTCCAGTGAGTACAGAAAGCAAAAATGCTACCTGAAGAAGGAGCTCTTTTTCAACCACCTCTTCAGTCTTGCTGATGAGACGCTTTTGCAGGGTGTGAATTTTCTGTATCAGCTCAAAGGTACTGGGGTCACTGGCCTGTCCAAGAGGAACGAAAACGAAGTAGCTGAGATGTTATCAGTTTCAAAGCACTGAGGTCCCTATGTAAAATTATTATTAAAATCTACCACAAACCTGCAGACACAATACAGAGAGAATCAGAACCAAAAAAAAACTGTAATAGATGGGATGGTCATAAACATCTTCCCCTAAAAGAGCAGACCGCAGTTTTCCTAATGTCTTATCTATGGCTCTGTTTGGCCAATAAGTAGAAAGTAAATATGTTTATTCCACCAACGGGAATAATAACTACAACGATAGTTACCATGATGCCTGATTCTTTGCCCCCATGCTAAGTGCTTCTCATACAGTATATTTTAGCCTCATGACAGCCCAATGAGACAGTTTTAGTCTTCCCCTTTTACAGATAAGGCAACTGAGGCTCAGAGAAGTTAAGTCATTCAACCAAACTGGGTAAACTGGCATCAGGTCTGAGGTGGATTCAAGACCAGATATGCCTGACCCCAGAGCCTGTGGTTCTTAATTACTATGCTCTGAGGCTTTTCCTTCCATCACTTCTGTTTCCAAGGGAATGAGACAGGGTTCCTTAACTCACTCAGCCTTAGAATTCTCCTCTGGTAACTGTCAGTAAGAAGATTCATTACAGCCAATGACTGGGAAGGTTTCTAGGACATCAGCTAATAATTGGCAGCAGAACATGACCATGACATTTAGCTCTTAAATGGAGTTATCAATCCACAGGGCTTTGATGCTCCTTCAGTAGCTGTCTGTGTACAATTCAAACACGATCTACAGTTATAAATCGATAATTTGTTCTCTAGACTTTAGCCAAAACTTCACTTTCAACTGTACTGACATTTTGAATTAATCTAACAGCTAAATAGAGTCTCTATTTTCTAATTTCTTATTAGAACTTGACATGGAATTGAACACTTTAAAGATCTTCTTGAAAACACATGGAATAAACTAATGTGACAGTAAATGGATTTAAAATCTTCAGCTTAACTTCCTCAAACACATCCATATTATTGTTAGTTTGGTAAACGATACCACTCTTAGCATTTGAAGAGGAATAAATGAGGGTCCAGAAGGAAAAAAAAAATATTCCATTGACTCTGACTTTGCTGAAGAAATTCTAAGCAGTGCCAACTGATACACTGATACCCACATATTAGGACTAGACTTGGCGCGTATTCACTTGGCAGGGCTGGATGTTGTTAAAATTCAGGCTTATGCTTACACAACAATTTACTGTGCCTTATCCTTAATGTTTTCTTCATTAAAAGGAAAAAAAATTAAGTGAGAAACAAAAACCTACTTGCCTGATTTTTTTTTCCTTTGTCATATTCTTTTTTATATCACATACCTATATTCTCTCAAAAACTCTAATTGTTCATTTAATCGAAGCCCTTTTGGTACCCACATTGCTGGGCACAATGAAAGGAGATGGCCACCTTTTTCTTGGACAAGCAGAGATTGCCTTTAACTGTCACCTGCAGTGCTGGTGACAGTGTCTGACAGGACGTCATAAGAGAAAAATGAAGTTTATTATCCATCACCTACCAACAGAACTTTGGTTGTATCCCCAGATCCTAAGAGAAGGGATTTGATTAACAAATGCTGGCCCTTCAAAAAGAGGGCTAGTTCTCAAGACTGTATTTCCTGCAGGAATTAAAGCAATGCAAAAATCAATAGAAAGATGGTAAAGATGCTGGTGACCAATATCACTAAAGGCAATGCATAATCCAAGGTAAACAGGTGGCCAGAGGATAGCTGGTTGGCCAAAAACAACCAAAACAAGAAAAATAAACGTCAGTTGGTAATGGCAGTTCACAGCTGTCACTGGATCCTTTTTAGGCAGAAAGGATTTTGTCCGAGATATCTTAAGCAAAGCCCAAGTAAACCATTTGGTTCTGGAACAATCCAATTTACATTTGATACAGCCTTAAACATTTTAGGTGACAATTGGCATAGACTCAAGTAAGCCCATGCTTCTTACCGTGTTTTAGTTTAGGAATTGTGTGTGGGGTGGCGGTGGGTAGAAGAAATTTGGGCACGGAAAGAATGCTCTGCCAGACGTTACCTCGAGCTTCCTCCATCTGTGCACGTTCATGGGGTTCTCCAGCTCCTCCTCCAGGGCTCGGCACCGTGTCCTCTCCTTCAAGAATTCCCTTTGCATGTGATAAAGCTCCTGCCTAAATGAGACAAAATTTGTTTTTAATTGTGCTTTAAGTTTGCAGTTCAAGTTAGTTTCTCACACAAAAATTTATACACACATTGTTATGTGACCCTAGCTTCTCTCCCTATAATGTGACAGCACACTCCGCCATTCTACCCCGGATTTCCCATGTCCATTCAACCAGCTCCTGTCCCTCTCTGCCTTCTCATCCCGCCTCTGGACAGGAGCTGCCCATTTAGTCTCATGTATCTACTTGAGCTAAAAAGCACTCTCTTCACGGGTATCATTTTATGTCTTATAGTTCAGTCTAATCACTGTCTAAAGACTTCGCTTTGGGAATGGTTTCAGTTCTGAGCTAACAGAGAGTGTAGGGGCCATGTCTTCCGGGGTTGAATAAGACAAATTCTTGTTTGCAAAGAAATTCTCTGCCCATTGGACTACGGTATCTTCAAATGGCTATGTACAGATAAAAAAAACAAAAACCTGTTGCTGTCAAGGCAATTCTGACTCACAGTGACCCTCTAGGACAGAGAAGAACTGCCCCATAAGCTTTCCAAGGCTGTAAATCTTTATGGAAGCAGACTGCCACAGAGCGGCTGGTAGGTTTAAACCACCAACCTTTCAGTTAGCAGCCAAATGCTTAACCACTATGCCACCAAGAATACTAAATCTTAGACAGAATGTTGGAATTAGACTTTGGAGAATGCTGAGAGCAGCCTTCTAATCTGGCCAAGACACAGATGATATCAATTCTTGCAGAGCTCAAACTTCAGCCTTAGCTTTAAAAAACAACCATGCCAGGGTTCAGAATTATGTTTTTGGATACTCTAGGAATTTGAGGTGCATGGAAGGAACAGAGAGGAGCTGACCTACGAGAGTTTCAATTTTTTTTTTTTTTTTTTAATGTTTCTGAAAGTCTCCAGTAGCAGCAGGAGAGTCTACATTCCACCCAAATTCTGGCACCTGACTGCCAGTAGTGAGGCTCAGGTGATAACCTGACAATTAGGGCAGTGCGTCTCCACCCTGACTGCACATTACAGTCACCTGGGGGGCTTTGAAAACATACCTTTGCCTGGACCCAACCCCTAGAGGGATATAGCTTTAATTGGTCTAGCATGGGGCCTGAGCTTTGAAGGCGCAGAAGTCTGTCTTGCCAGTAAATCTAATGGGCAGCCAGGATGGAGAACCACTGAGTTAGGAGCAGGGACAATATTTCATCTCATGTTCCACAACTACACAGATGGCTGAAAAAAGTCCTAAAGAACTAGCTTTGGCTCTAACATACTGAAATCTATGGGCATCTCTAGCTAATAGGTAATGTGTTACAGCCATCCTGAGTAGCCTGAGTCTCTGCCACGCCATCGAATGAGAAGCTTCATTAGAGGGGCGGCAGGAGGCAAGTACTCACGTTGACATGGGCAATAAGGATATTATTATCTGTCCTTGTCTGCTGCGGGTATGCAGATTACTAATACTAAGCCATCTCTTTTACTTAATTGCTTCATTTAAACCAATAATACAATCTCCCCTCATTAGGAAGACAAACCATTAGAATTAACTGCATGATGTTCACTCAACAGGGAGCTCAGAACAAGCTGCTCAGAATTAAAAGCATATTTTTAACACTTCCATTTTCTAAAGTGTCATCAGAAGAGAAGGGCGAGAGTATTTGCTACTGTTATTGGTGGCTTATTTTTTACTAGACTCTGCTAGAGACATTACATTGTTTTCGTGTTTGATTTTAACTACAACTTCAAAGCTCAGAGAAGTTAAGTCATCTGCCCAAGGTCACACAGCTTGTATGTGGTGAGGCTGAGGCTGGAATTCATGCCTTCTTGTCTCCAATATCATTATTAAACTGCTTTCCCATTGATAAGAAAAATACAGTCTATTCTCAACAAACCAGCAATATTGACCAGAAACAGCTAAAATCTGGTCCTTTGTGTATGTAATAACTCAAGGCTGACAAGTTTAGCGATAGTCTTGGAGATCATTCAATAGCTACTTACAATAAATCCATTTGTCTCCAAAACATCAACCATGATATCTCTAGGAAGTAAAGTTATGAGTGATTTTCTAATCCCTCCTTTATATGGTTTCTGCATTTCCCACATTTTCTACAATGAATCTGTATTACTTTCATTACCTGAAATACGAGCAACTCTTAAAAAGTATATATTGATCCATCCTCGATAGCGGCAACCTCACTAATCCTGAACATGCTCACTGCATCAAAGTATCAAAACTAGTTTCTAATCCAGTTAATTTGAGAAACAGACCCTAACTGTGCCCTTGCCCCAAGGTGGTCAAGGATACTGTTCACCTACAAGTCTGTGGGGAACCAAGGCAGCTACTGAGAAACCACCGGACCTCTTGTGTGGTGTCCTGCAATCGCCTGTGGAAACCATGGTGACGTTTTCCCAGAGGGAAAGTAGATCTTGTGCAATGCAAGAGTTAAAGAAGGAAGGCACGCTAAGCCAAAGTGAAAGCTGCAGGAGATAAATCAAGGGTGAGATGTAAAAGTTGGCCGCCTTCTAAAGAAACAGTTTGCAAATGGTGACAAAATTAAATTTTTCACCTCTTTTCATTCTGTATATAACTCTAAGAAAAAGATGTGCAAATGTTACCAGGATTAAATTTAAACACTGATGCTTCACGTCTTGCACGCTGCCTTATTAAAGAAATTCCAAAGAGCTCATTGGGGGAGAAACATTTTCTGAATCGTAACTAGTTTGTGTTTGGGATTTGACTTAAAGTTTCTTTCCCAAAATCCAGAATAGAGTTTTTTTTTTAAAAAAATCTTTATGTACTCGCTTATTCCCACCTGAAAGGAAACTTGTTCACACCTGTGACATAGCATGAACACAATGTAGATTCTGTTCTTTTTATTTGCTAATAATATCATCATGTAAAAATTATTTTATACAACTTGATAAAGACCTTCAATGACCAGCAAGCACGAAAACAAGGTTATTTCGAGAGCTCCAAGCAGACCACTGAGCCCTCAGCCCTGAGGGGTTTCCTTTTACCTGAGTTCATCCACATTAGCCACACTCCTGGCAAGAATCCCCTTTTCCCTGCGAAGCTTCTTGATCTCGAGTTTGAGGATTCTCATGTCCTCCACCCTCTGGTTGTACTGGCTCTCGCCTTTGTTCAGCACTGACTGCTGGATCTTGATCTTCTCGTAGAGCAAAGCTAACTCATCATTGCGCCGAACAAGCTGAGACCCCAGGACGTCCCTCTCACTGATGACCTAGAAAGATAAGGAAGAACGTGACCACCGGGAAAATGTCACTCACTGACCAAAGTCTCATTTTTCATTAAGGCAGCAGCATTCGTTCAGTCAATAAATATTTATGGCATGTCCGTATGTCCAGGCACCATGTGGGTGGGCACTGGAAATAGCCCGCTAGACAATAAACACAGGACTCTTCCTATCAGAGTTTACAGTCTCACTGGAAAGAGCAGAAGTATAACAAATAATCCATAGTTCCTAGCTTTGGTCCATGACTGTGTTGTTTTGATTGTTTGTTTGTTTTCCAGCACATTATTTTTACAATGTTTCAATTTGAATGACTTTATGGTGGGCTAGTTCTTGCCAAGTTGCACTACTTCCTACAGTCTTACACTGGCAAACTTCCCTTTTGTTTTTTTTAACCTGCCAGGTCCCTGAAAGCATTTGCATTCCTAACTGCCAAATTATGCATTTGAGATTCTAACTCCCAAATAATCTAATTATTAATTACAATTCTATATGAGCAATTATACTAGAATGTAAGCTCCTTGAGAACAGGGACCTTGTTTTCTTGTTCACCGTGTATACCCTGTGTCAACAGTAGTGACTGACACATAGTAAGTGCTTATAAATATGAGTTGAATAAATAAATATTTCATAATTAATCAACAAAAGATAGGCCTCTACTGCTATTCTTCCAATAGCATTGGATGGAAGCGCTTAGGTAAGAATGAGCGTTCATGAAGACGTGACTCGAACACTTGCCAGCTGCTGAGGAGGTCTGCAGGTGTTCCTACCTGGTCTAATTCCTTCTTCTGTCTCAGCCTCTCCCCATCAGCCTCCGCGATGATTCGAAGGAGTTTTCTCTCTTCTGCTTCTTGCTTTTCAATAAAGTGTTTGGTCTCCAGGGCTTGTTGTCTCAGCTTCTGCAGCTCGGCCTGACAAAGAGTGAAAGATACAGACAAATTTCACTTGATAACAGCACAAACCAGGACTGCAGGGCCGGGATTTAGATAATACAGTTGTGATTCTTATACTTCCCTCTGATGTTTCATTTCACGTGGTTTGATCACTCTCACAAGCAAAACAAGCTTATGGGACACACACACACACACACACACACAAAGCCTGTAAAGAAACAGCAACGCAAATTATGATGATCATGCTCATTCTACGAGTTGTGCCCTTAAGGGATTTCTATCATTTTTCTGTATCTGTACAGCAGGGGCTTCATTGGTATTCAACAGCACTTCATCTCTTACCAGCTAAACCCTGGGAGAATGCACAAAGAATAGCGCAGAGGAGAACGTGGGGTGAGGACAGCTCCTGCAATGGCCCTGACACCACCAGCACATGAAATGCAGAGATGAAAGTCCACTGCAAGCAAACATCAAATCAGTCAAAGGCAACAACTATGTATCTGTCTTGTAAAATAGTCGAACGGAACACAACAGGTTATAAAAGGTATAAAAAGATATATAGATCCTGCCCCTAAGACACTTCCAATCCAGATGGAAGATAAGATATACAAGTATTCAAATACTAAGTCCAGGCAATATTTTTTCTGTATCTTTTTTATCATTCAGACAGTGAATTGATGTCACAGGAGGTCAAAGGAAAAGCCATCTCTGGACTGGGGCTGTCAGAGGCTTCCTGCAAGAGCTCAGACCTGAGTCCAGTCCTTGAGGTTGCATGGAGTCAGAGGAGTGATGGGGAATGGGTATTAAGGACTGGCAAGTTTGGGAAGGAAGATTCCTCTTGTCAAAGGACATATTCACTTTGATTCCGCAAGTATGTGTGTTACCTACAAACATCTTACGCATGATACTAGGCATTTTGCATAGCTACTAATATCCCCATTTTACAGATGCATTTACAAAGAGAAGCAAATTTAACTTGCCCAAAGTCACACAGTGAGTATCCAAGTTCAGATTCTAACTCAGCTCTTTTGATTCAAAAGACTGTGCTCTCTCTGCTAACACCACCCAATGTTCCAACTCAAACAGAGACGATGAGTAAGACTACAGGGACGGGAGATGACAGATATAATCAACCACGCTGCTCTGTGGAAATGCTATCCACCTGTGTGGAAAAGGGACACAAGAGTACATAGGATTTTCTATTTCTGCCTGGGGTTTAGAGGGCAGGACCAGCCAGGGCCTTGGCAGTTGACGGATAGTGCCAAAATGAAGGGGCATGGGTTAGGGAGAGAGCATTCCAGAGTCAGGCTTGCCTAAACAAAGGCATGCAAACTATAAAGCACCTAAGAGGTGCTTTATAGTCTGTTCAACAGATGGCAGGGTATCTACTATAGCTGGATTATAGAGTGTGAGGTAGGGATTAGCAGGTGAGGCTGGAAAAACAGCTGGGCCAAGCTGGGAAGGGCCTTGTATGACACGCACTGTACACAGCATGCAATGGGGAGCCACAGAGTTAACCATATTAAAAGAGGAATACAGGCAGTTCCCAGGTTACGAACGAGATCTGTTCCTGAGTATGTCTTTAAGTCGAATTTGTAGGTAAGTTGGAACAGGTGTATACAGTTCTTATTTAGCCTTTAGTGCAAGAAAAGGCTCAAAGCCTTTTCAATGGTTTAAACCCTTTCAGAACCAGTGGTATATACAGCTACCACTTACTTTTTGTACCACTAGGGTTCGTTGGAAAGCTACTGTCCCACTGGAGGTACGTGCTGCCGGCAGGCAGGGCCCTATATAACAGTTTGAAATGGAAAAAACATGCATGTGCTGCAAATTACTGTTTTTACAGGGTATTGTATGGGGTGGTGTTGAATCATTGAATTTTTGGTAGGAAAAACATAAATTTTGAAAATTTTTATTTGGTACACATACGTACCTCTGGACGCTGGGGGTAGAATTTGTGTTCACAAGGAGTATACATATGTACCTCCGGACTCCGAGGGTACAATTCTTGGAATGAAGCATAAAACAAAAACCTTATTACCTACCAAAAATTCAGACACACTCAATGATTTGGCATGCCCTCCATTACTGCAAACACATAGTCTCTACAAAAAATTAAAAGGAAAAAATAATTGGGCCATGAAAGGGTTAAAAACTACACGTGCAGCAAGTGAAGGTGATTGTGATGAAGAATCTGCTGCGAGTAGGAGTTGGTTCAGTCATTTCAAAATGAGGGCAAATTTACATCACATTAAAGGGTCCATAAGTCAGATGTTCGTAACCCTGGAACTTACTGTATATGTTTGAGAGGTTCCATGTCAGATGGGAAGGACAGGTGGGTACAGAGCAGATCAGTACAAGAAGAAACAAATGAGAGGACAGAGCTCTGCTTTCACCCATGCCCGGCATCATGAGCGAGATGACAAGATGATATTAAGACACCAACTTGCCAATGGCTGTAGGTCAGGCAAACGATAGCAAGAGAATAGTGATTTTTTTCCTTCCCAAAAGTATCAAGACCCACACCCCCGCCCACCAGGAAAGGTCACCAAGATGATAAAAATTCTCATACCTTCAAATGACTATGAAGCAACCCAACTCTAAACAAGGTCTGTCTCTTACCCATGAAGACAGTTGTTAGTTGCAGTTGAGGTGGCCCCCGACTCACAGCTACCTCATGCACAACAGGATCAGACAGTTGTGATCCATAGGGTTTTCACTGGCTGATTTTTCATAAGTAGATTACCAGACCTTTCTTCCTAGTCTATCTTAGTCTAGAAGCTCTGCGAAAAGCTGTTCAGCATCACAGCAACATACTAGCCTCCACTGACAAGTGGTGGCTGAGCTTGAAGCACACTGGCCTGGAATTGAAGCCAGGTCCCTCACATGGGAGGCAGGAATTCTACCACTGCCTCTACCCATGAAGACTAAGAGTCATTAATTCCATATCTCAAACTTATCCAAACTGTAGAAGATACTGCACACCTAGTAACAGACATGTAGTTTTACAAACAAATGCAACCAGCTACTATAAAGCCTTTTCTGACATCGTTTGCTCATTCATGAAATATGTTTTGGTCTAGGGGATAAGCAAAAGGAAATACTTACTGAGAAGAGATCTAGCCTAGCATTTACCACTTTGGGGGATTGCCTGTTAGGAAAGAAAGTGAAGAACCAGCCTTTCTGTTCCTATAATCATTTAAGATGACAGCAAAGACAGCAATAAAATACCTGTTTGGTTCATGCTTTCTTTAATAAAACTTTTATTTTCCCAGATGTGCAACATTCACTCCCCTGTTCCTAAGTGCCAGGAGCTCATCAGAATCTATCAGCAGAACAAAATGAAACCCCTGTTATATTAAAATGCAATCAACGGTGTGTAAAAGTATCTGTCTGGAATGTAAAACCATACGTGTGTTTGGCACTGCTGGATTTTTTTTTTCATAATATATCAAAATTCTGAGTGGTCTCCTTATGTCATAAATTTATGGGCTGTAAACAAGATGTAGCATTAGACGTTGGCAGCAAATGTTAACATCAACAAAATACCTTGGGTCTAATGTGTTTAGCAGTTATAAATCTAAGCAGTCTTACCCAGGAAAGATGGTAACAACTGCTGTGCACCCAAAAGTCCACCAAGTCATGTTCTAAGTGGGACCTGAGGTTTCAGCATCTATCAAAGCATTACTGGTGGCATGAAGTTGTAATGAGAAGATAGTACACACTCTTTAGTCACTACCTCCCCAATTACACAGTTTTGTGATAAGTGTTTATGGAATATATATCATCTAATTTGGCTATGGGCATAAATCATATCTCAAGAACCATACTTGTGGGTGTTTCACCATTCATTCATGATCCCAAGGCTCACTAGCTTTCACAGAAACCATCTGTTTACAGCTAGCAAAACAAATAGGACCAACTGAAGTCTTCCAGCCACAAAAATAATTAGGCCCGTTCTCTCTCTGCAAGAGCTCCCCAGCCATGTCATTCTACAGAGTCCACTAAGTAAAAAGATACGGTGCCCTGAAGCCAATCGCTAATGTGATGCTGAGCTCTGGACGTAGAGAATTTGCTGCTGAATTATTCACCGAGAATCAAAGTGCTGTCAGATTGATGTGGGATGACTGGGAGGTGACTAGACAGAATCAGGGGCTTGTTAGGACTGGAAGGCACACACTCCAAACGAGATGGTTCCTTCAGTACTGATGAAACAAGACTGGGGCAGAACGGGCAGATGAACCCAGTTGCAGCGACTTCTACAGAGAATTACTGACATTCTGTCATAACCATAATACGCTGGCAATGTCTCGAATCCTGAGGAGTCAGTGGGGTTTGGAAGGGACTGAAAAGGGAAAAGGAATGTGGAAGGAGCAAGACTTTTATTTTTAGGGGGATGAATGAGGATGGCAATAACCTACTGTGGACAACTGTTCGTCTGTCAGCTTTGAGAAGTAGTAAATTGGGTTGTCCTGTCAAAAGACATCTCATGGTCTACCAAGCAGGCTAGGGCTGGCCCCTCCAGGAGGGATTTTGTGCCCACTAACTTTGTAGAACTCATAATAATAAGCTAAACCTCTCTTGTAGCAAAGTTACTAGAAAATCTGCCCTTTTCCCCCAGGGTTTTGGTTTGCAAACTTTAGATGCATGAATCCGGAGACATGTGTGTAATGTGATTCAAACTCTCAGGCTGAAAAAGAGGCTCAAACTCGACATTTGAGCTGTTAAATCTCTCTAAAGAATGTCAAATGGGCTTAATGATAGGCCAAAATTACCCAGGTGAAGCACCATGGCAAGTCACTCTTGGGTAACCTCAAATAATAAATCAAGCAGGCATCCTTTCTCTGTTCTTCATTCTTGCTTTAATGGGAAATTCTGGGAGAAAAGGCATCCTAGCTTCATGGTAGGTCCAAAGCAATCATCTTCCTATAATCAATGACCCAAAGCTCTTTCCCATTTAGAGTTGACTCTCCAGAATAGAAGCTCTTTAATCATCCTTCATGTCCACCAGCTGCCAATTCTGCTGACCCAGGACCCCAGTTATCATTTAGTATATTTAATTACAATGTTTGGGGCTATATGTGTAGATGATTGTTTATGAGGGGTATAATAAGCCTAAAAGAATTTTTATATAAGATGACCAAATTGAAGCAAATACTTAAAAAAGTCAAAATCTACGGAATTAAAAATAATTTATCTTTGCATAGTGAATTGCTTGTTCTAAATCAGGATTTTATGGATGACAGTTCCACCTTGGACCCCATTATAGGGCAATAATAGGTCTTTTGAATACAGTGTTACTTGGGAAAGTAAGCGATCAGAGTCAATGTCATTCTCTAAAGGGAATGAGTTGATGTATTAGATATTCTACAAATGGAATTACACTGAAGCCATGCTAACATCGGTCCATGAGGCCCATGGGTAAAGCTATGTTTATAATAAGGTTCTTTTTGATTGATTCAGTGATAAATAAACCCGCAATCCACTACAGGCTCCAGGGTGGAACAAACTGCCTTTTATAAAACTGTTCTTTAGAGTAAGGAGAATAAGGGCAAAGACACAGGATATTGCCAAATTTTAGAAAATACTTGTATGTTTCTTTATATATAAACAAATTTTAATGCAGCATTTTCTATTCTTTCTCTATCATAACTTGGAGTGGGGAGACAAAAGTCTCAGAGAGGTAAATATATCAATTACCATATTTTTTTCTAAACATAGGTTTTTCACATTTTAATCTTCTTGAACTAAGATGTGCCTTAAGCTAACTTAAGGCAGTAGTTCTATTTCCATGAAAACCTATTATTAAATTGACAAAACCCATCATTAAATTAAGAGTGCATATTTCAATCTACAGCATCTTAGAATCAAGGAAACATGGCCATTAAACCTGCTCAACAGTAGATACACATTACAAGACAGGAACTATGTTTGAAAGCTAATATGTGCAGAAACCAAGGTACCCAGTCTCTACTTTGTTGTAAACAGTTCCTGCAAGTGGCTCATAAGCATTCATAAATATTCTGAATATACATAAAACATTTTCAAAATAAGGGTGGCATCATTCTCTTAGAAATTCCTTTTTAAATTCGTTAGTCAAATGGATTAGAAGGGAAATCTATTGGATTGAATAGAAAAAGGGAAATCATATTTGGTTAGAAGATTTGAAATGAGGCAATTATTTGGTGACGTATTCTTTGAAAAAGTCCTTATAACATTAGTAGCAGGGCTTTGAACCAGTTCGTTCCAGTTCGAATCCCTCCTGAGAATTTTCATTTCCACCCCAGATATACTGAATCTGAATCTGCAGTTTAACAATATCCCCAGGTGATTCTTATGTATAATAAATTTTGAGAACCACTGCTCTACTAGTGGTTCTCAGAACTGGCCCCTAACCAGCAGCATTAGCATCACCTGGGAACTTGTTAGAAATGCAAATTCTCAGCAGGGGTTCAAACCAGAAGGAACCGGTTAGAAGCCCTGGTTAGGAGACATAGAATGTTCTCACTTAGTAGATTTAAAAGGTGATCCCAGGAGGAGTAGCTGCAAAGTTCTTAGGCCCATAGAGGTAAAGTGAGCCATGAACCTGGTGAAGGGCAAACCCAAGTGGGGACAATGATCTGACGGACACCCAGTAGTTAGTGATATTGCAGGCAGAAAAGCCATGTGTGCACCAAGAAAATAATGATTAGGAGCAGAGGGACAGTGGGCCTTGCTAGCATTACCTTAAACAAGGCCCAAGGAGGAGTCTGGGAGGACTACATGTGGACAGAAGGATTGGACTTGGATTGTGAATGCAAAGGGATTGTAGTGAGCCTGCAAGCTCAAGGATTTCATTGGACTGCCATCCTGCTAGGTCTCTTCCGTTGATGTGATGGTAGCCAGCATAACTGAACTAGGTGTTTGTACCTCTCCACAGCCCCCCTTTCCCCCTACCCTGCCCATCGTATTGGGAGCACTACCTATAAGGAGCACTTCCTGGAGATAGTAACCTCATCTTCCTGGTGCCTTGCATGGGTTGGCTTGGGTAACCATCAATAGAGACCACAGCCAGCCTTGATTGTTCTCCCTGCCCATTGTTGCCTCTAGTGAGAGCAGAGCCTGCCTCAAGTGGGACATATAGACAGAACATGGGTCTGTCACTTTTATTATAATGTCTGTACCTTTAGGGTTTCCTTCTCCTTTTCTATTCGCTGCTGTTCCAGGTGTAGTTTCACAAGTGCTGTCTCTTTGGCTGATATTTCTTCTTTCAACTGATCTACCTGATGGGTCATAATCTTTAATTTCCTCTTCATTTCTGTTATTTCATCCTAACAAAATAAAAGAAGAAACATTTGAAAGTGAAATAAGTAGGCATTACTGTCACTATGGAAGTTCAACACATATTCAAGTTTTCTTTTAAGGAGGCTCTCTCATATCAATGGTCTCCTGACCAATTAAAACTGTACTATGCCTTTATATCTTGTGCCCATCAATCTCGGAGTACTAATAGAATTAACACTCAAAATATTCCATAAGATATGTACTGTTTTAGTTATCTAGTGCTGCTATAACAGAAATACCACAAGTGGATGGCTTTAACAAACAAATTTATTCTCTGACAGTCTAGGAGGCTACAAGTCCGAATTCAGGGTGTCAGCTCTAGAGGAAGGCTTTCGCTCTCTGTAGGCTCTGGAGGAAGGTCCTTGTCATCAATCTGCCCCTGGTCTAGGAGCTTCTCAGCACAGGGACCCTACGTCCAAAGGATGCGCTCTGCTCCTGGCACTACTTTCTTGGTGGTATGAGGTCCCTCTGTCTCTCTGCTTGATTGTCTCTTTTATATCTCAAAAGAGATTGACTCAAAATACAACCTAATTTTGTAGATTGAGTCCTGCCTTATTAACATAACTGCCTCTTATCTTGCCTCATTAATATCATCGAGGTAGGATTTACAACACATAGGAAAATCACATCCGATGACAAAGTGGTAGACAATCACACAATATTGGGAATCAAGGTCTAGTCAAGTTGACACACATTTTTGGGGAACATAATTCAATCCATAACATATACTAAGTATACATAATGTATAAATCTCACACACACACACAGAGGTATGCATGCACTTTATTCGTCATTTTATAGAACAAGAATTGGAAGCACAACAAACATTATTAACTAAAACTCTGAAGAAAAGCTCTGCAATTAAATGACAATAGCATGCTGCTGCCCTCTGAGTCATGGTAGCTATTAGCAGTTTTAGAAATTAGCAAGAGGTGAATGATAATTCTATATAACAATTAAAAATAGGACAATGGTCGCCACCATCATATCAAGTTGTGTCATCTCCATTTCAAACAACCTAACAGTTTTGCATAAATCTGGTGAATTCCACGAGATTTCTTTCTTGATCTATTCTAAATTCTGCCATTAGGATAGCAGAAACTGTTTCAAACCTAGTGTGGGAAAGGATCAAAATGTAAAGACACAAACACATCCTTTACCTGAGCCTCAACCAGATTTTTGCTATACAGATTCCTGTCTGACCTCACAGCTTCGTAAAGGTTCTGTTGCTGTTTTAATTTTGTCTCTGATTCAGCTATTTTTTTCCTGTAGTCAAAAATCTGCATTTCACGGATTTTTATGTCTTCCATGTTCAGGAGGACCTGGAGGGGAAAATAAGTATATGAATATAGTTAAATAGCCTATCTGTGGTTACCAGTTTGGAACAAACTTGGAGATTTCTATCTGAGGGTGGTTGGCAGAGACGCCAGCCATCAGAAAATCTGACTGTGGCTATAATCACTGCGGTACAACACAGAAATTCAGCCCAGCTGATTAGGGACAAACATACATTTTATCTACTCCAGAGTTCTGGCAAACATAAAGGCTTAGTGCAGTTATTTTGTGATCATAAGAGGGAGAAAAAGAAAAGAATTTCTTTCAACTCTGAAAACCTCTCCTGACAACCCCCCTCATCAAAAAAAGAGAAGAAAAAGCCACAGGCTTAAACAGATCTTAACACAAAGCACTAAGAAAGAGAAGAGACAGCCTAGCTGTTTGGCCACACTCGCCGCTTTACAGAGTTAACCAGGAGAAAGAAAAGTGGCCTTTGAACACTGATAGCAATCATAGCCCTGTCTTGCCAATGTCAAACTCACTGCAACAAGGGAAAGGAAAGGCTTTCATAAAAATGTGTTCTGTTGTACACAAAACACTTCTGGGAAAGATGGGATGCAAGAATGACTGCCTCCTTTTTGCAAGTATGAAAAAGCAAGGCACAAAATTCCAGAGTGAATCGATACCGGTAAACGAGCGATCCATACAGGAGGAATTGCACAATCATGACTTAGCTGCAATGTCTACAGATACTGATTTTTTTTAAGGACAAACATCTCAAAAAATCCCTTAAGAAGAAAAATTTTGGTGAGGAAAACTGATAAAATCAATGGAACTAAGGTCTATACAACAGCTAGAACACATGAGAAAATTCTTACAACGATGTCACTTAATTTTAGCGGGGTTCTCATAATGGCTATAATTTAAGGAAGTAAACAGAGAATGGAGGGAAAGGGACATAAGGTGGCCAGGGAAGGTTCCTCCAAAAAACTGACATTTTACCTGTGATTCTGGTGTGGCTACTTGTTGTAAACACCATGTTCCCAAGTTATTGGACTATGGAATCTTTCTTTCCCCCACTTGTGAAATTAATATTCCAGAAAATACACACTGAGCAACCCTGCTCTAATATTTTCCTATCAGAGTTGATGATGGCTGGAGTTTAAACTATCCATCCTTTATACCTTTAAATAAGCATCTCTGAAAACTTTCTTAGACTTACATTTAAGAAGGGATAAAATTTTAGTAAGTGCCTTTTTAGAATACATTATCTTGTACTGTTTGTTCTTATTGGAGCTATTAATTCTTATTAATATTTTTTCTTTTTACAATTTTTTAATTTGATGACTTTATATATATTCCTACATATAATTTCAAATAAACATGTAAATGTCAAATGTACATTTATTTTCTTTTCCTTATTTACTTGGACCTTCCTTCCTGCCTCAACCACATCAATTCCTCATTACACACAACACAACCAGGTTAACAATCTAATATATATCCTTCCGTATTTTTCTTTGAATTCTGCATACTCTATTCAGTTCTACAAATATAACAACAATTTAAAAAAAAAAAATTGCCATCAAGTCGATTCTAACTCATAGCAACCCTAAAGGACAGAGTAAAATTGCTCCATGGGATTTCCAAGCAGCAAGGAGTGGCTGGTGGATTTGAATTGCTGACCTTTTGGTTAGCAGCTGAGCTCTTAACCACTGCGCCACCAGGGATCCATAGCTAATAGTTATTAGGTATTTTCTTTGTACCAGGCACTTTACATATATTAACTTATTTAATCTTCACAAAATTCCTGAGATGTGTATTATGATCACCCTGACTTTATAAAGAAGGGAACCGAGGTCAAAATATTAATACCATTTCCAAAGTTATTCAACTAGTAAATATATAGACACAAAGATTTGTTTGTTTTCCTTTTTTGTTCTGTTTTGTTTTGTTTTGTCTGTTTGGTGAGGTTTTTTTTGTTGTTGTTGTTGTTCCATTTTGTTCTGCTTTGCTTTTTTCGGGGTGGGGGGGTTTGGCCAAATGGGATGTTGTATATACTTCTTTGCATCTTGCTTTTATCACTCAATAATATCTGGTGAAAATCATCTTGTATAGCCCTAATTCATTCACTTTAAAGATCATAAAAGATTTTACAGGGAGGATTACCATTTTACACTCAACTCTTCCCTACTAATGGGCATTAACTTTGTTTCCACTTTTTTGCCAACAGGAACAACGCTGCAAAAACTTTTTGTACGTGCGTCCTCAAGCACTCACGCTTTTACTTCTGTGGGATGGATTCCCAGGAGTAGGCTAGCTGGCTCAAAGGACATATGTATTTTTAGCTCTAATAGATATTGCTAGATTGCTTTCCAAAATAGCTGCAATACTTTCTATTTCCACAATACCAGCAATAGTTTTCTTAATAGAAAACCATCCTTGCAGTTTCAGAATAAATCCTCTTCGGTCATACTGGATGATTCTTTTAATGTACTGTTGAATTTGGTTTGCTAGAATTTTATTTAGAATTCTGCATACATATTCGTAAATGAGATAGGTCTATAGTTTTCTTTTTATCTCTATTTTAGTATCAAAGTTTCTGCTAGTCTCATAAAGTGAACAGAGTACATTTCTGCTCACTCATTCATTCACTTGCTCATTTATTCGTTCACTCAATGAACATGTTTTGAGGACCTATCTATTGCCTCTTCCATCTTAGTACTCAACCATCCCAACCAAGGACTCACCTGGGATCCCAGGCTCTCTCCCAGGCCTGGAATCTTTCTACATTATAACTGGAGAAAAAATGGGCTATATCAGTAAAGCAATGTCTATCAGTATTACCCAAAATAATACAAAATAACGTAGATGAGCAGCAATTTTTCTAAATTCACAAAAAAGTTTATATAGCATGAGAATTATCTGATTCTTGAAAGTCTGAAGGAACTCAATTCTAAACCTTTAGGTTCTCAATCAGTATTGGAGCTAATTCCCTCTCAAATTTTTTTGGCAGCTTCCATAGTTATTGATCTTTCTAAGTTTCCTACTTCCCTTTGAATCAAATTTTAATGTATATATTTTCTAGAGAATTATCTATTTCATCCAAATTTTTAAATTCATGCAACTAGAGTTGTACAAAATATTTTCTTCCTGTCTTATCATTTTTACTGTTTTATGGTTATTAGTAATAACAGCTATAATCTACTTGGTGTGGAAAGAAAAATGACACAAAGTAAGAATATACACAGACTCAGTGGGAATAGCTTGGACAGCTGGTTGAGGCCTGGAAGGAGAAAGATTAGAAGATTGAAGACAAGGAGGTTTGGGGAAGAGGCACGTTGATGGATCTGAGATGCAGAGAAACCCTGGTTCATTCTTCCATCATTTCTTTGAGCTACATCTTTGTTGTTGTTGTTAGTGCCTTCCAGTTGTTTTCGACTCATAACAACCCCAATATCTTCAGAATCCTTAAAAATCAGCAGCAGGTGACCTATTAAGATACCGACATTGGCAAGTGAAATGTATAGGTTAGGAATAAAAGTGAAACCTAACTAAGGTATCCATTTCTGGATCTGTTATTTTGTTTCATATTGTTTTAAAGAAAGGCAGTATCTTATCCTAAAAATTTAGCCTTTCTATGGACAAGATACCATCCTCTTTGGGGTCAGTCAAACAAACAGATTGAAAATACTTTGAATAGAAATATCAGCATTCAGAATATCAAGCAGCATGCACATCAGAGCAAAGAAAAAACTGCTTGCTCAATCACTATGACAGACGTTATAACAAAAATAATCCTTTGCAAAGACAGAATAATGCTTCAGAGAAAGGATGCAGCCAAGGATGTTTCATTTTGGGGCATCCAACTAGCGTGGTCCATCTTTCTGCACAGAACAATGCACAAAATCACAAACTCGCTTCCGGGGTCCTGAAGCTGGGAGGAATAAGAACCCATCACAATACCAAGAAGATCAAAAACATTTAAGTTAAACTGACAACGAAAAAATTGCCTAAGTATTGAAACTAGGGGAAAAGACAATTTACAAAGCAATTTATTTTTAAGTGTTGAGACTCGGTTTACTTTGACGGAAATCATTCAAACCAATGTCACGTAGAAATTCAAATCCTGAGAATCATAAAACGTGTGGGGTGTTAAACAGCAGCAAAACCTCTCGTCAGCAAACTGGCCCCTGTTAAAAAACGGTGTATCAGAGCATGAGGGATGCCAGCTGTGGGGCTGGAGCTTAATTAATTGATTACACTTTCAGATACCTCAAATCAACTCATGAGATAAATCACATCCAAATACAGAAGGTTTTATTACAGCCAGAGAGTTGGCGCTCTTAGCGTTTGTAGGCCCACTACGGAGGAGCCCAGAAAACACCTACAATGCACTATGAGGGTACAGTCCCAGTTTATAACCTACTCCTACCTTTTCTTTTTCTGTTAAAACAACCTACAATAGAAATAAGAGTGAGATAAAAATCAATAACGCATGCTGGAAATCTGCAGCATAGCCAAAACATCATATAGACTGAGGCAGGATAAGAAAGTAGGTCATTGAGTTTGGAACCCTTTAACTTATATTTGATGAAATATTAATACAATAAACTTCTCAAATGTTTTTCTGACTCCATGACAATGGTTTGAATGCTGACGATGCTTTTACCTTCATAATGAAACTGAAAAACTCACTCTCTGAAAATAAAACACACCTATGTGCCCAGGTACGGGAAATTTTAAGTCTTGCTTGATTTGTTTCATTTGCTTTCTTATTTTATGGTGGTGAAATGGTTAAGCATTTGGCTCCTAACCAAAAGGTAGGCAGTTCAAATCCACCAGCCGATCCTTGGAAACCCTATAAGGCAGTTCTACTCTATCCTATAGGGTCGCTATGAGTCAGAATCGACTCGACAGCAATGGGTTTGGTTTGGTTTTTTTGCTATCTTAATTTCCGAGAGCATAGGTATGTTTCTATCCCTTTGTTTATAATGTATTATGTTATATTATAAAATGGGGGGGTGTAATAGAATCTACCTCACAG